ATTCGCTAGATGGTGTATAACTCTATACACACACACACACATATATATATATATATATATATATATATATATATATATATATATATATTCACTTCTAACATTTAAATAGTTAAATTTAATCCTTAACCCTCTTATTCTGGTTGTCATTCACTCTCATAATGATATATGTGGTTGTCCTGTTAGTGGCATGTATCATTTTCTCTTCCACATGCCTCTTTGATTCATTGCATCTGTGATTACAAGTAATGATGTTCTGATCTTTCCCTAAACATTTCTAAACTCTAAGGGATCAGGGAAATTCAGTGGTCATCACTTGCTCAACCTCATGTCGCGCTAAACTTATTTGACTTACTTTCTTCTGTGGAACACAAATGCAGTTGGGATCAGTGGGGTCCAAAACAACATTGCACCCAATTAACTTTTAATGTCCTGTATGTTATGTAAAATGCTGAATGCTGAGGCATTTCTCAAAATATCTTCTTTTGTACTCCACAAAAGAAAAACGTCATACAGGTGTGGAATGACAAGAAACTACATGAATTAATGACAGAATGTTCTTTATTTCGGGTGAACTATCCTATTAATCATCCACTGAGTTCAGGAATTAATTACTTTTTCTTAATCATTCACATAAAATCCTTTTGGTTAGTTCAAGCCAAGCACTTTTCTTACAAAACTCCATGTATTAGCCTCCCTTTTTGCGTCATTAACAAAGTACCTTTTGTTCCAGTAATGGAAGTTAAAGATAACTTACCAAACCTTTCTCTTTATTGGGTATTACTGTCTTACATCCTGCATGACAGGGAGAGCGGAATTCCACTCCATCTGAGCCACACACAGGGTTGAAGGCTTCATCAGAACAGGAACATGCATTGCTACACTGCTGGGAAGATCTGGGGAAAAAGTAAACAAAATAAAGACAAAGGCTCATGAAAATAACTGGGTGCCTTGCGGCAGGATATTAAGCATTTAAAGAAAATTGTCCTTTGCATATTGAGATAATTAAAAAGAAAAACTACTGGTCTAAAATCCTTGAGGAATGTAGGAGAAAATGAAAGTGCAAATTTCAGCCTGCAATTAAAATGTGGTCCATAGCAAAAACTTTGTAATGGAAAACAGCTGTCAGAAGGTTTACACAGAATAAAGACACTGTTGATATTCTTTTGTAAGTTGTAACTGGAATTATGGGCTGAATCACTTTTGGCAACCCCTAATGAACACTCTTATCTTTTTATTCATACCTGTATGTAAACGGGAGCATTTAAACACCAAACATAACTCACAAATTATAGTTGATGCCAGAAACACTTTGTGTGGGGCAGCCAATGAAGAGAAGTGGAATTGCGAACATAATGCTAACAAAAACCGCCACTTTTTTTTAATTAAGAAAATCCTACACAGCTTTTGTACCTGCTTATAATTTACGTTTAATGTACTTTGTATGTGTGTGTGTGTGTGTGTGTGTGTGTGTGTTTTAATGCTTCAGGTTTGGGTGGGTCCGTGGGATTGTTCAGGTTGAAAACTCACTACACTACATTCCTTTATTAATCCCATTAAACAATAAATAACGAAAGATGTAACACTTAGACAGAAAGCTTCAATCTTCCCTTGCTTATTTCTCCAGACTTTGGAATTTGTTATAGTGACATATTGTATTGTGTGGATTAGCAGCGGTAAAGGTTTTGAATGAGTAATTTGTACAATTGAACAATAAAATATGATTTCACTGGCCAAAAACATACAGCACATGTTGTTATGGTTTTGGTGGAGCAAAAGGTTTTCTTCTTGAATAATAACCTCAACCTCAACCAAAGGCATAGTTGATTTCCTTCAATAACTCACCCATCATCAAATTAGAAAAGGAGGCAGTCTGTGCAAACTGCCTCTCAATGAATTTGCCCATAAAAGTGGCCAGTCCCGCAACCATGGCAGCAAGATTCACTTGAGCCAACACTACCAACAAATAAATTGGGTTCCTCAGAGTCCTCATTACAATTTTGGGGAAACCTGAGGAAAGATAAAAGACACCAAACAATATGAAAAAATCTGAATAACATTTGTACAGTATAGCACAAAAATAACTTTCAAGAAGGACAAGAACATTATATTTTGGAAGATTAATGAATAGATTATTGGATATAAGGATCTTTAGAGCCAGGAATTTTTACATTAAACATCAACAACCAAATATGTTTCATTTATCTGGACAACAATGAATGAATGAATGAATGAATGAATACATACAGTACATACATAAAAACACTGAAATCTATAAATATTACCAGAAATGTTAATATTAGACAAAATATTTTGGAGTTTAATAAATGATTTTTAACAACAAAACATATAGAAAGGATTAGTATTTCCTGTTGTGTGCAGCACACCCATTAAAGGGGTCATATGATGCGATTTCAAGTTTTCCTTTCTCTTTGGAGTGTTACAAGCTCTTGGTGCATAAAGAAGATCTGTAAAGTTGCAAAGACTAAAGTCTCAAATCCAAAGAGATATTCTTTATAAAAGTTAAGATTCAACCACGCCTACCTAAAACGGCTCGTTCTAACACGCCCCCACATATCTACGTCACTATGTGGAAATATTAGCATAATGCCGCCCAAATGTGCACGCAAAGAAAGAAGGCGTGGCTTCAGGAACAGCAGTAGTGTTGATGCAGCCATGTCAGGGAGACGGTGTGTGTTTCAGTGCGAAAGCAAAAGCACTTTATTTGGCCTTCCAGAAGTAGATGCAATTAGGAGTCATTGGTTAAGATTTATTTACAACAGAACAGCACAACCCAGATGTTCGAATTTGTGCAAACGTTTTATGGACGACAGTTTTTTTAACCTAGAAGAGTACAAGGCTGGCTGTGCACAAAAACTATTTCCCCCCCAAAAAAAGGGTAAATTCCGACTTTGTTATTAACTATCTTGATTTTTTTTTTTTAAAGCTGGTGCTCGCGATTATGGTAAGGGGCGTTACATTTCCGACGCGTGCCTGTGGTGTTCGGCTAATCACAATGCACTGGGTCAGCTGGCCAATCAGAGCAGACTGTGCTTGTCAAAGGAGGGGGCTTTGTAGAAAATGACGCGTTTGAGAGAGGTGGGGTATAGAGGACCTACAATAATGTACAGTATTTGAAAAATAATGTGTTTTTTGAACATTAAAGCATGTCAACATATTCTGTTACACCAAATACACAAAATAATGATCTTTAAAATAACATCAAATGACCCCTTTAAGGAAAAATGGGCTAAGTTCATGAAATCTGTTAGATAACTGTTACAGGAACAGAACATTTGAATTATGAGTTTGTAGTTCAGAAAAACAAGATTGAGTCATTATTTGGCTTCTAATCAGGCATCTGGTTCTGACTAAGTAGGTCAAATTGTGCAGCATTAAGTTTCTATGCTAAATTTGGCATGAGTAGCATTATGATTGCAAGAGGGGATTCTTTTGAATTTGGATGTGGTAGTTTCATTATAATGCCAGTGTAGTATGGCCTAACAAATACAGTAATCCCATTAGGTCCTAAAGTAGGTCATAAACCTGCATCTTTCTACCTAACCACCCAAAATCCAGTTTAACCAGATGCTGAATGCAATGAGATTTGGTTTGTGCTGTTTCGTTACCTGTGGACTGGCTGCTAAAACAATACAGACAGCACGTGTAATTATACAACTACCAGCGGGTGCAATTTATTTTTAGTTAACTACACCAGTAGGGTTGGGAATCGAAAATCGATTCCGATTCCAGAATCGGATACTTAAGGTCAGGAATCGGATACTTGCTCTGCCTATCGATTCCTATGCATTTTTTTTCTTCATCTGTGAGGACCGGACCTAGCGATCTGCCAGGACCTTGCTCACTAATCTAAGCATTCCAAAGTTTGGCTACATTTGCGATCAGAAGCCAAAAAAGCTAAGTATAATATTTGTGATAGCTAAACATGTTGCAAGAGAGGTGTCACCACCAACATGACAAAGCACTTTAATTTAATAGATCGTTAAAGATCGCGAACACGATTCAAACACCAACGTGATTCTATTCCTAAATTACAATGATTTGTTTGTTTCATTCCTCAACCTTTGATGTGTGCGATCACAACGTTGTGATCACTTGGTTCGTCTGTGCAGAGTACGATCATCACACCAGTGTGATTTGAACGTTTAAATCTGCGTTCGCGCTGCCATTGACCTAAAGAGAGCAGCTGTCTGACATGAATGAAACAGCTTCACATAGTATCATTATTTCTGTGTTACAAACATTCAAATCACAGAAGTACTGGGATAAAAGTTTATAGTTAAGATATAAACTGTGTGTACGATGTGTATGGTAGCTATTAAAATAGAGTAAATCACCTTTTGAAAGTAATTTGATACTTCAAATGAAGATTTATCGATTACATTGTTACGCCAGCAGGTGGCGAAAAGGGGCTGTTAAAATGTATTTGTCTTTGAATCATACAAGAGATTCGTTCAAGAACGCTGATTCATCCAGTAATGAAACAAGTATGTCTTGAGTGAGTCATTAATTCATAAATTACATGCCTGTTGTAGCCTGTTGATTTTTGTTCATGGTATTCAGCTCCAATAAATGCTTTGCAAAAAATAGACACAGGATAAATGTTTGATATCATTATTTAATTACATTGGAATCGAAGCTGGGAATCGATAAGAATCGGAATCAATAAGCAGAATCGGAATCGGAATTGATCAAATTCAAACGATACCCAACCCTGTACACCAGGTTGATGTATGACACCTAAACTTGGAAACCTTTCTTGTCTTAAAATCCATAATATTGCCAATGTAAAATTAATCCTGTCTGAATCAGGAGAGAAATATGCACAGATCAAGCACTGGTTACTTGGATCTGTTCACTTGATGGACTAGAGCCATGTGAATGACTTGTGGATTATTGTGATGTTTTAATCAACTGTTTGAATTCTCATTCTGATGGCACCCAGTTACTGGAGAGGACCAATTGGTGAGCAAGTGATGTTAAATTTCTCGAAATTCAGGTGAAGAAACAACTCATCTACATCTTGGATGGCCTGAAGGTGAGTACATTTTCAATGTTCTTTTTTGGTCAGCTATTCTTTAATTTGTGATTAATAAAATCGCTGATGGGTAAAATGGAAAACACACTTTTTAGGAACTCAGTGAGAGACACCTCTTCCTTTGTTTCAGATTTGGGCTTCTTGTCCTCCATCATTTTTTCTGTGGATGGCTCAACAGGGGCCTCTACGATTTCCTGAAGAGATTGAAATCTTTAATTTAATTTGATTTAATTTATTGTTGAACAAAATGTATTGTTGAACAACCACATTATGCTCAAAATCAAAGAGGTACATTCACTCTTAAGAATAAAGGTTCCAAAAGGGTGTTTTTGCAGTGATGCCATAGAAGAACAATTTTTGGTTCCAAAAATAACTTTTCAGTGAACAGTTCCTAAACGAACCATTTTGAAGAATATTTTAAAAATCTAAAGAAACTTTTTCGACTACAAAGAACCTTTTCTGCATTTGAAAGGTTCCATGGATGTTGAAGGTTCTTCATAGAACCATTGATGCCAATAAAGAACCTTTATTTTTAAGAGTGTATTGCATTGGTTTACAACAGAAAACCATCTTACCCTGTTTGTTCTAAATCTGCACAAGGTAAGATTTTGGTAAGATTTACACAAATCATGTTTTTATATCCACATTTTTAAATATGAGATTAAGCATCTTCCAATATCTGATTCACATTTACAGAACATAAACATTTAGTGCAAGAACATGTATGGTCGCAAATTTCATGCAAGGTTAACCTGTTATTTAATCTAGTTGAGCAAGAGGGGGAAGAACAGGCTGAGACATGCTCCTCTAGGACTCATGTTTCTTTCCGTGGTTGTAGTTTTTTTAAACATGTTCTGTGAGACCCAAGCGTACTTCAGGAGCAATGCCTAAATCTTATTTGCCAAACTCTCCATCACTGATTAATCAAAATGTACTAATTAATTTTCAGAATCAAAAAGGCTACAAATTAGATTTTTGATGTACCTCTCTAGACATCTTCCTTGGAAAAAACAGGTATGGCAAAGAAGTCAGGAGAAGGAGGGTGGCAGCTATCAGGAATCCCAACCACCAAGCTCCAACCCATCTGGGGTCATCATTTTTCAAATCTAAATCATCTGAAAAGTATAAAAGCTCATTCATAAAACATCTCTTACATATATGAGAGACATAAAGCCAAACGTACTAAAAGTTCCTATCTGTGTTTGATGCACCAAGCAACATTGCTAAACATGTTGAATCTTGAGATAAACACTTCTTTTTAAATGCAGTTTAGCTTGTCAAAATGCACTTGTCTAAACATGATTATTACAGTTGCTAAAGTATTTATATTAGACTCTAATGTTGTTTAAAGGTGCAATAGGTGATTGTCTTTAGAAACATTTTTTGCTTTGCTGGTTGAAAGTCTCTTCACATCCCGATAGCAATCATTAAGTTAAGTGGTCTAAATGTATTTATCTGTATTTATATTTTCTGTGGAAGGCGTAGGACCAAGAAATGTTTGTCCAATCAAAACGCTCGGTCCGAGCATTTTAATTGGCTTTCCTACCTGCCTGTCAACGTATGTATTAGCATACCTCTGTGCACCTGGTTCGTGCAGACAGGATACATCATCACCGCGTTCACGCATGCTGAGCAGACAGAGCGCGAATGGCAGACAAACATCAACAACCCGATCTTCCTTCCTGGTATTGTAGTACTTTTAAAGTTTTCTCACCAGTGAATGACACATGATGTAACCCAGTGGTTCCCAATTCCAGTCTCCCCCATCTGCATATTTAGCATGTCTCGCTTAGTCAACACACCCGATTCAGATAACCAGCTCGTTATAAGTGAGCTAACGTCCATGAACTGTGTTCTGATCGATATATGATCCCTACACAGTGTTCATTGCTCCTTACTCTATGAGCAGGGGAAATCCATTGATGCTTACTTCACTTCAGAACATGGGCTGGAATTGGGAACTGCTGATGTAGCCTATTGTAGTAATGTTGTCTCTGGTATTCTGGTCTGTGAGCGTATATGCATTCAGGGGGTGTGGCTTTGTACGGCGATTGCAGGGAGGGTGGGACGTTCGCTTTCAGTGCTATCAGGCTAAAGTTAGCATTTTCCAAGATTTCCTACAGCACCTTTAAGCTCAGCAAAGTGTATAAATTTACTTTCCATTTATGAAGGAGCAGACATCGCATATCAGACATACCTGAAGACATCTTATCAACATCAACATAGAAACGAAGCAGCGCAGAGGACATCATGTAGCCAAATGCCGGCCCAATTACAGTAATCGCGAAAAGTATGCCTGTAGAAAAAGATAAAGGTTGATCATTTCTTGAATTAATCACTGTATTATAAGAATTAAACAACTCTATATGGAAATCAATGATAAAACATTACTCATTCAAACCTAGGTAGAAGGGAGAATTCCTCTTTTCTGCATAATCATCTATGTAGGAAATCCCAAAAGGTTGTATGGGGACACCGCCAATGCCCAGCAGTAACTGGCCCAGTAGAAGTATTGGATATACTCCAAGGTGAGAATCAGTCTTTTCTTGATCACATGTCTGCTTAGATTCTTTCTCGGGTAAGATGTTCAGTGATTTGCAAAGACCAGAACTGTTGTCTTTGGTGTCTGTGCAACAAATACATATTGGTTATTTCAGTTGTTAGGAACTTATATATATATATATATATATATACTGTATATAACAACAATCCCCACTCACTGCTATTGAAGTCTGTATAAATGTACTTCTCGCTAATGAAGTGAGGTAGGGCTATAAGGAACACCCCCACACTTGCGATCATCGCTCCGATTCCAATACATCTCGGTCGATGCACACGGCTCCCAAAGAAACTCACAAACACAATGAGAATTGTGTTCCCCACCTTTGTTTAACAACAAAAGACTTATATGCATGATCAGATATAATAGTCAAAAAGTGATGTCGTATCAATTTCATATTTAGACTTTGTGTCTGAACTTGTATATTAATATTGAAATAATTGCAAACCAGTTGCTATAACAACTTCCAAAAACAAATGTGTTTTTTCTTCAGGCGATTCATGACATCTTGTCATCACCATTCATATAAAGTTAGCATATTATCCTTGCCTCATTAAAGGCTGCCAGCAGTCCTGATTTCTGACTTGAAAATCCATATCTTTTCTCAATGGTGGTTATGGAGCCTTTCAGATAGCCAGACACCAGGAGTTGAGCAAGCTGTAGCATCCCGTGACACAGCACAAACAACTGAAACACACACACACACAAGTGCTAAAATGTAAACACATTTTGTAAATATGCATGGGGAAAAACAACAACAACAACAAACATTAAGTAGGAAAATATTAATCTGTTAATTGGTTTTAAATGTTCAGGCCAAGCCAAGTTGTATCCTAGCAAAGTCAAGTTCTTTGGTTGTACAGCAATTTCAGAGCATAAAAACAACAAACAAAACTTAACTTAGTTACACCTCTCAAAAATAGAGATGTATTTCGATAATAATAGGTTCTTAAAAGAAGCTTCTTACAGTCTTAAAGACTCCATATACAAACTCCATAACCTGTTGAAATCATGTCACACTGCAGGCAGAGACCCCCAATACCCCAGAATGTTGTTTCCACAATAACCTTGTGGAAAAGACGTGTGCTTTGTTGTGAATGTGTGTTTCTAGTTTACTTCAAATCTTAAATTAAAAAAAAGGAAAAAGAAGCTGTACTTGCAAATAATACCTAAATAAATGCCACTTAAGCGTAAAGAAAATACAATTTCATGACACGACACTTAAGAATGCTTTTAAAAAGCACATTTAGTAATGATGTCAAATTAAAAGTTGTACCTTCAAGAACTTTTTAAATCATGCTTTAATAATATTTTGTCATGCTTTAACAAAATACACAATTTTTATGTGTTGACTATAATACTAAATCACATGTTAACATACTAAAGCACACGTACAGCACTTGATTTGATTGTAATTTTAAATGTAGTGGGTTTTTCAATTATATTTAAAGTGCTCCTATTATGGGTTATGAAAGGTTCATGTTTTGGCTTTGGGAGTCCCCAACAACAGGTTGACATGCATGCAAGGCCAAAAAACATGTTCATTGTCTTATAATAGACATTTCTTTTTCCCTTTTTTGCTCAACGATGCCAAACCGTTCGCTCAACAATTCATTTTTCCAAACCCCTCCTTTGCGTGACGCTAAACTGCGGTGATTGGTTTGATGACCTAGTCTGTTGGTCTACTGCGTGCAGCGCATGTCATTAACGGAATGCCCATCACCATTATAAAAGCCCAATTTATACTTCTACGTCGAACCTACGCCATAGCTTACGCATAGACGCACACCCATCACCCAGCACGTAGCCTGACATGCACCTCTCCAAAAATCTAACAGCTCATCAATTCTATGCAGACCGCAAGCGCTGTGATTGGTCTGCTAGAACCCCTACCTCCGTATGTACTTGAGTTTTGTGTGTGTTTATGTGCACTTTAATATATTTTAATGTTACACCTTCTTATATAAAATAAAACAACGCAAAGAACAAGTGTCTTATCATTTATTATACTACATAGCATTATACATCAGTAGTTGTCCGTGACAAACAATGTTGATCTGCCATGGTACAAGTCCTCGTGGAGATTGAAAGTATGCCATCTTCTCCTGTTCTGTTGTTGTTGATGACCTAGTCTGTTGGTCTACTGCGTGCAGCGCATGTCATTAACGGAATGCCCATCACCATTATAAAAGCCCAAATTATACTTCTACGTCGAACCTACGCCATAGCTTACGCATAGACGCACACCCATCACCCAGCACGTAGCCTGACGTGCACCTCTCCAAAAATCTAACAGCGCATCAATTCTATGCAGACCGCAAGCGCTGTGATTGGTCTGCTAGAACCCCTACCTCCGTATGTACTTGAGTTTTGTGTGTGTTTATGTGCACTTTAATATATTTTAATGTTACACCTTCTTATATAAAATAAAACAACGCAAAGAACAAGTGTCTTATCATTTATTATACTACATAGCATTATACATCAGTAGTTGTCCGTGACAAACAATGTTGATCTGCCATGGTACAAGTCCTCGTGGAGATTGAAAGTATGCCATCTTCTCCTGTTCTGTTGTTGTCTCCTTTTTGTAGTTTTAAATAATGATTTAATGATTTGATATTTATTTGCCACCGTCACGACTATAACGCTTCTCCGACGAGCTGCTTCTTCTTCGGCTTTTACCGTGGTACTGCAGGTTACATCAGCAACATGCCCATGCTGCAGACTAGCGGTTTGCATGTGTACTGCATGTTGACGCGGACAACGACGCAGAAGTATAAATGAAAACTGACGCATAGCCTACGGCGTAGGTCTGACGCATCATTTATTATACTACATAGCATTATACATCAGTAGTTGTCCGTGACAAACAATGTTGATCTGCCATGGTACAAGTCCTCGTGGAGATTGAAAGTATGCCATCTTCTCCTGTTCTGTTGTTGTCTCCTTTTTGTAGTTTTAAATAATGATTTAATGATTTGATATTTATTTGCCACCGTCACGACTATAACGCTTCTCCGATGAGCTGCTTCTTCTTCGGCTTTTACCGTGGTACTGCAGGTTACATCAGCAACATGCCCATGCTGCAGACTAGCGGTTTGCATGTGTACTGCAGACTAGCGGTTTGCATGTGTACTGCATGTTGACGCGGACAACGACGCAGAAGTATAAATGAAAACTGACGTATAGCCTACGGCGTAAAGGCTACGGCGTAGGTCCGACGCAGAAGTATAAATCAGCCTTTAGCCCACAGCTCATGGTAAACACCCAAACAACCATGGTATATGCGTTAGCCTAATGCAGAAACGTATTGATAAAGAACTGCAGTTTGTACACCAACGTATTGCTCTATTCTTTATCAGAACTCCAAGTAATAACAACGATAAACATTCACTATTCATCGACACATTTCTAGACAATTGCGAGTGAACAGATATTGCTGTTAGCCGGTTAGACGGAGACCTACGCTGCATGGAGCGAGCACAACACACACAAATAAGTATTTTGGGACATTCTAAAATGCTTAACATGAAAAATGCTTAACGTGGCTTAACGTACCTAAACACCGACCAGGGAAACCCAAATTTCTGTCAAACCTTACTTGTAATAAACACTAACTACTGTCAAAAGAACGAGCCCTTATTCCACAGATAAAGTGAATAATATCATGTTAAGCGTTTTCTCCCCCATAGAAGTCCATTATAAGGAAACAGCTTAATGTGATTTAATGTACTTTAACAACGACTGGGGAAAATTTAATTTCTGTCAAATTTTACTTATAATAAACACTTTCTACTGTCAAAAGAACGAGCTATTCTTATTCAGCGTAGCTATAAGGTATAATCAGTGTTGGGGGTAACGCATTACAGTAATGCGAGTTACGTAATCAGATTACTTTTTTCAAGTAACTAGTAAAGTAACATATTACTTTTTAATTTACAAGAGAATACCCGAGTTACTTTTTCAAATTAGTAATGCAAGTTACTTTTTTTTTTCCAATTTATTGATGGACAGCTCCCCATGTTGAGATAAATCAGATGATGTTACTGTAGTTCTAAAATAAATATGAATATGCATTAATTCATCTCACTCTGTGTTGAAATTTACCTTACCATGCATCATTTTGGAAATAAAGCTTCATGTTTTTAAGTCCTTAGCATACGCAGCCAGTGTTATTTCTCTGAATAAGTTATGATGCGTGTATTATTTTATGTCCTGAGGGAGCAATATCTATTTCAGACTCCTCAAGATGGCGCAAATTCTATGGCATTTTAGCATTACAATTTCCAGGAGTAATGTGTATGTTTAATTAATTATTAATTTAACCGATGTTTAAATCATTAAAGGGGTCATATGATGCGATTTAAATTTTTCCTTTCTCTTTGGAGTGTTACAAGCTCTTAGTGCATAAAGAAGATCTGTAAAGTTGCAAAGACTAAAGTCTCAAATCCAAAGAGATATTCTTTATAAAAGTTAGGAGTCAGCCACACCTACCTAAAACGGCTCGTTCTAATACGCCCCCACATACCTACGTCACTATCTGGGAAGATTTGCATAACGCCGCCCAAATGTTCACACAAAGAAAGAAGGCGTAAATTTTATTCTCACTGTAGTATTGTTGTTGCCGCCGCCATGTCGTGAAGGCGCTGTGTGTTTCGTTGTGAAAGCGAAAATTACTTTGGCCTTCCAAAAGAGGACGATATCTGCTTCGTTATGCCTGGAGCTGATCCGTGCTGGTTGCTGAGGAAATACAACAACTTTGCGCTGTGGATCG